TGTGTGGTGTTAGGAACAAGATCCACGGCCAAGCTGGCAGTCTCCAGGATTGGAGTATTTTTGCGCCATCTTTAGAGATCATATCAAACCTCTGGAACTGCTTTTTCTGAATCTCATGGTTCTCTGGTGTGACATGACCAGCAAGGAGGGTCTGCCAGTAGGCGTCCAACATGTCTCCTCCGCCCACATATTTGGCTTTTACACGGGCTTTGGTGATATCTTCCCATTTGAGGCAGCATTGTAAGAATTCCACCATGGTTTCCATACGCTTTTTGTATTGCCTGTAGTGCTGGAATGTCCACGTGTTTGGTGGTCGTCGGTCTGCGGTGTCGCTTACTTCCTCAATCCGATCGAAGACAAATCCTTCCACGCCCATAACAGTGTCCTGGCGTTGGAACTCGATGCTCCCAGTTGTTCTGGTATCTTTAGAGGCCCGAAAGTGGTGCTGATCTAGTAGCAAGCAGTTTGGGCGGTGGCTCGCGGCCCAGTCTGGAATCCAAGATGGCCAGTCATGTCGACCTTCCTCCACGTTACCAACGGGGCCACTAAGAAGGTCCAGATTCTCAGACCTTCTGAGTATGTTCACAGAGAGCTTCTTGCAAACCTTTCTGTACATCATTTCTGATTTGAGCTTTCTTTCTTCGTCACTCCACTCGGGGTTTTGCTCTGGATAGTCAAAGCTCCGCAGCTCTAGATCTTGGAGCTCGGACTCGTCGACAAGGCCGCAAAAGGCATAGATTCTGTCAACTAACACTGTAGCATCGCAATTGTTGTTACGAAGGAGAATATTTAACAGAGTCGACCTTCCAGCGGGCACCTCTTGTCGCAGTTTCTCGACCACAGCCATGTGACTGGGGAGCGGAACCCCAGCGAGAGGTCTGATTGGAATGGAAGGGACAAAGTTCAGCGCGCGAACGAGCTCGCTCCAGGGTATTGAATAGCCACCACAGTCAATGCGGACATCTGGTGGCAATGTTGCTTCTTGCACCACCCATGCACGTGTGAACCATGCCCGTTGAGTGAGCTCCATGAGCGCCTTCCAACATTGACATATTGTCCATTTTACTCCAACGTTGTCCAAAAGTATCATAGTCATAAAACTCGGTGTCTCTTGACCACTCTTCGGGTCCCCATCGCTACCATTTAAGAGATCGTGCTTATCTCCCAGGTTCTCTTGGTGATATGCCACATTGCAAAGCCAGTACGCTGCCACGAACGCCCTTTCAGTAAGCTCTGTGGGTTCTCCAAGCCAAATGATTCCCTTAGCACATTTTCTATAGATATCACCCATAAGCTTAAGCTGATGAGACTTCTCTTGCCAGTCACTTTGATTGATACAGATGCGGTCAGCCCATATTAAACGTGATCTTCCCTCATACTGGCTGAGAACGTCATCAGGGTCTTTCCTCACGACCCCATCGCGTTTATCATTCACATCGATGAAGGCGCCGTGATCCTTGCGTACTGTCGCATTGCAGGATGGATACCGCAGCCATTTGAGGGCGTCATAGAGGCTTTCACCAATATCGAGGGGGCAATTTCCAACTTTGATCCGTGTATCTCCTGCTTTCGTTCTACCTTTTCTCTGTGAGTATCCTTCATACGGATCTCCCCACGTATAAGACATGGCTTCATATGGAGGACAATCATCGAGAGAGTGGATATGGATGTCACACCGAATTTCCTCTTCACCCCCTCCGGGATGTAATTCAAGGAGGCGAAATTGCCTCTCCCCAAGAGGGCTGGAAGGGATCATCGGGATGTAAGTATAAGTCAAGCAAAATAGGAGCAAAGTGATAAACAATATAGATGGGTCTTATTAATATAACTCGGGATTATAGCCTTATTAGAAGGTCCGATGTCCACCATGCACCAAGATGCACCAAGCCTGGCTGAAGAAAATTGATACATACCGCTCCGTTGGGAACGATTGGCATATTAATCGTTTAAGCAGCTGTCGCACATGGTGCAAAGGGTACGTATGGTACTTTCTGCCTTTATCCTAATCCTCGAGAATTATTCGCATGCATAGCTGCCTGATACTCAAGAAGAGACAACTTCCTCTTTCTCAGCGCGCTCTGATCGGAGTTGGTGAGTGGGGTCGTGAGCCAATGGGCACTCTGCTGTTGCATAGAATTGAATTGAGAAGGTATGATTCTCTCTCTCTCTCTCTCTATCTATCTTCTTCTTTTCTTCTTCTTTTCTTCTTCTTTTCTTCTTCTTTTCTTCTTTTTTTCTTCTTCTTTTACCTTTGACCGAGAGGTCATCCTTTTGGCAATAGCATCTCTTACACTTGACGGACGCAATATCTGGCAAGACCAATAAATCAAAGTACTATAGTGCCACCATATATTTTACTTCCGAGACGCTGGGCCCAGTAGGGTCTCCATCGCTGGCCACGTAGGTAGCGGCATACGTGGCCATGATACCGGTAGCTCTGGTTCGTGGACAGCTGTGCCATTTTCAGGGGCTTTTTGCTACCCCGAGCTGGCCGGGCAAGTTATATTCCGTGTTTTCCGCTTCCCCGGTCACTGATATGGTAATTATGTCCGGTTTTACCAAGTACTGCTGTTCTTGACGTGGCAGACGAGCTGGTCCCTCACTCAGCCAGGACACACTTATTAATGATTCTATATTAGAGTTAGATGGAAATAGAACATTGTTTTATTTTATAGATTACTGCATATCTCCGCGGGATGAATTAAACTTATAGTGTTTTTTATGGCCATAAATATCTAGTTCCTATTATTTTACTACTTTAAATATACATTGGTTTGACTGAAATATACTAGAAATATAGTTATTTTGTCATTGAATTGGTGACAAACGGAACAGGGTGAGATCCTATCTGTGAATTCCACTAGGAGGCTAATGTTGCCAACTAATATACAGTCAATACTGGCAATTTCCAGTCATTGTACCCAGGTCTTATAGCAAGGTAAGAAGTGGAGCGCTGGTTAAATATGTAATTCAATCATAGTAGCAGGTGTAGGTGCACTGTTTCCGTTGATATCATCGCTGTGCATTAGTGGCCGGGCCTCTCTGACTTGTTGTCGATTTGTCAAAGCAGAGTCTCATTTCCGGCGACACAGCCTTTGGAGAATCCTGGTCTGCAAGCTTACGGATCTCAAGAGGCCCAAAAGAGCTGCGGCATACTTCAAGTCTGGACGGCGATGCGCGGGCATAACCAGTAAGATTGTTAAGAAGACCCGCCAGCCGCGAAAGATGATCTTTATTATCACGCTCCCAGTTTAGGAGATCATCCTTCATGTCTGATAGGTGCAGGCTCTTCATGACCCCTTCCTTGTGATATGCCACTGCGACGTTTGAGACTTGTGATGCCCAGAGTCGAGGGAAGACAGTGTCTAGATGGAGCTTTCGAAGTTGGCCATGGTGATTGTACATGGACCGTAAATCGGTGTGGAGGATTTCGTTCTGAGCAATTGGCTTGCCGCCTTCATGTACCTGCAACCCGCCGATGCCTTCAGTAAGACTGCTGATGTTAGCCGTGTCGGTGTTGGTGGATGCATTTCCACCTTCAGAGTCCAAATCCTGGTTTGGTATATAGGCATCTGACGCAGAGCGAACGACCATATTGATGCCTGCGAAATTATAGCGAACAATGCGCTGATGGGCCTTGTATTCAGCGGCTATGTCTTCCCACCTAGTGTATCTCCTCGTGAACTCGGCCTTGTATTTATATCGAATATCAGATTCAGGCAACCAGACCGGCGCGGGAACTTCACGTCGAACAAACACTACCGTCTTGCCAATGGACTCCATGATAAAGCGGATCTCTGAGGTTAGACCACGGATGAAATCGAAGAGATCTCTAAGGGTGGCCGAACAGGTAACGATGTCGGTGCGTTGAAGATCATACCTCGAATCCTGTCGCCGGATGGCTTCAAACGATGCCTCCCAGGGGTGAGCAAGTTCATTGATGGGCTTTGGGTTGGCCCATTTTGAATAGCCTGTTTCCTTGAGCTTCAGAGACTTCTTTACTGGAGTCCAAAGGGGAGGTCGACCTGAGATCTAGTGAGCTTGAGATCTTCCAGAGGCAGTGTGGTAGTAAAGAACAAAAATACCTGGAATCAAAATAGATGATTCCCCTGGATCTAACCGTGTGTAAGATGCCAGATAATTGCAGGATGTGATGCATGGGGTTTTTTGTGACGGTTTCACCCTGTCTGATTCGAATTTGGCCAGCACCGGGCCTTTTGGTGGAGAGAGTGACTCGAGAATAACTTCCGCTCCTTTTGGGTGATTCCATGCCTTTTTACGGCGGAGCATCCTCCCATGCACAGGTCTGTACATATTAGGAGGAGGGGTGTTATATTGTGAGTAGAGTTCCTGCCACGATGTTGCTGGTATGAGGCAAGCTGGATCGTTTAGAAGAAAACAGGAAAAAGACAGGTGGATCCGGTTGGTCACCTTCCCCGACCGGGGCGGGGTTCCCAGCCCCCCCTTTAAACTCTCCTCCACAACGACTCCGGATATCCACAACTCTAGTTTTAACCACTCTATAGCATATCGTGCTGCCTCCCTCGTTTGGTATAACCTTCATTAATCACTAGAGTAGAAAAAGTCTGCGTGAAAAGGCGTGTTCATCCTTTGCAGGGCTATCTTGCCTATCACTCAAAGTCATTGTCGATTTTGTTCATGCAGAAATAAATGTTTGGCCAATAATCTTCACATTTCTGGAGCAGGAGTAACGCTCATTTCGATCAACATGATAAGAAGGAGATTAGAAAAATAAAATACAGAATAAAATAAAATAATAATATAAATAAAAAGGAAAAAGGAAGGGAGACAGAGAGAGATTGGATGTTCCATAAATAGACTATCATACAATGCATTAACCAGTAACAGGACTTCGTTCAGGGGATGAACAGTCCAATGAAGTATAGTAGCTAGGCGCTGTCGCTAGTAGTATGCATGAGCTGATCGGTGGAATCCACAAGCGCCTTCGAGTGCACCCGGACGATGATTTTGTTGGTACTCGGCGGCACAGCCTCACACAATTAGTTGAGTTATACATGAGAGTGAAACAAAACTACGCGCTGCAAGTGTTCGATGAGCTGAGATACCTAGGCGGCGGAAAATATCAGCTAACGATTGGAAGTTATGACCTGACCCGTTTATTGACTCTAATGACTTTCTGAGAGCCTAAGCGCCTAATACAACGTGCTGATGCGGGCTTGGTTGCATCGAACGTGGTAGGAGCTCGTGGGCGTCTATTGATCATGCCAACCAAGGCATATAAGGAGGGTTCTTTTCGCCCTTCCAATATTGTGTTTTCCAAGCAACTCCATGATTCAATCTATCTTCTGATACCAACAAAACCTTCAATACTGCCAGCCAACTTACCTGCAACTTATCACTTCTCCATTCTACTTATCCGCCGATCACAATGCATCAAAGAACGTATACATACGTCCTCGCGCCTAGATGGGACTTCCGTCCCGATGGCCCCATTGCCCTTGGAAATATCATCGTCGATCCATTTAGACCGCACCGGGTCCTAACAAGACCCGACCCAGACATCCCGACCGCTCCCATCGAAACAGTGGTCGAAACCGACTGGTCGCTACATCACCAAAGGGAGAATGGTGTTAAATCAAGCGTCTGGGCCCACTTCCTCAACGCCATGGGCGTCGATGTCGGTTTCGAGGGCAGCAGGTCCCTTGATGCTGACTACACCGTTGACTCCCTGACAACCAGCTATTTCAGGGACGAGCCCTCCCATGAAGAGATCATTCGACGCACTCAAGATGGCAAGATCCGGGATCTGATGCGCCTGGACAGTGTGTTTTCCAAACCCGTATATATGATCACCGGCGTCAAGATTGCAAAGGGATTCCGTGTATCTGAAAGCCGTTCCAGCTCCAAGGAAGCAAATGCTGGGGCCAAAGCCGGTACATCGGGAACGGTTATTGGCGATGTCACTGTTGGCACAGATAATAAGGTCTATTCGAAGGAGTCTGACAAGCATCAGGGAAAGACCGAAAATGATGTTGTGTTCGCTTTCCAGCTCATGAAGATCGTGCCGAAGGGGTGGAAGCACAAGTCCTTCGATGTGCAGGACTTCTACCCCAAGGCTGCTCTGCTGCTGGGCGATGAAGAAGAAGAAATCGAGAACGAGCTCGATGTGTCTTATGCCACGGCGGCGGATTTCGCTGATTCTGACCTGGATATTCAGTTCAATATGACTGAGCTAAATGATAGCCAGGGTGCGTTCAAATGTGTTTCTGCCGTGGCGTAAGCTAGGATGCGCGCAAATAAATGGCTCTTGTATACTTTGTTTTGATTGGCGTTTCCTCTCTGCTGTTAATGCGCTTTTCATTCATTGATTCGTCCGTTTAGCCAATGTCTCTAAATCTATTTTACGGTATATAAAGTAGATTACCAAATAACATGCATGTCCGTTACCTTTCATAAGCGAAAGTGTAGACAAATATCTCCAAGTAAATCAGCTACCCAAGTTCACAGCACCAGACTTAACATACCCATTAACACCGCCCAACAGACTGATAAATCTCCAACGGATCAAATCCCACCCTCTGCTGCAAAAGATTCAGGATCGGCTTGAACAAAACCCTCCCTTCATACTCCTCCATCTTCCCCAGACGCTCCGCTTCCCGCTGCCTCTCAATAGCCACCTTCATTTCATCCCAAGTGATCCACTCCCAGCGGACACATTTCTCAGGCTCCATGACCTTCAGCCCAAACCATCAGTTTTCAATCGTTCCTCAAGTAACACCACCAGAAGATAACTTCAGAAATCCAAACAAAAGAGGGAAATAAACAAACGTACCACCGGCTCCGCATCCTCATCCACAAGCCTACAGCCCACAAAAATTGTAACATAATGCTTTCCTCCCTCCATCTTGGCATTGTTGATCGCGGTAAGGAAGCGTATATCAGTTACTTCGAGGCCCGTTTCCTCTAGAACCTCTCGAGCTGCACAGTCTTCAAAGCTCTCGTTGAATTCGAGGTGGCCGCCCGGATGACCCCATGTTCCTTGAGACAAATTAGAGCAATGTCTCAAATAGAAGGTGTTACTGGAGGGAATCAATGGGTGAAAGGTAAGACTTACCGGCGCCGAGACTCCCCTTGCGTCGGCCGAGAATGGTGTGGCCGTGTTTGTTGAAGACGTAGACGGCCACAGCGACGCGAATTGTTTGGTCCATGGTGGTGGTATTTATGACGGAGTAATCGGTAGGGTTAAAGTTAATTGATCGATAATTACGTGTTGTTACAAGGAGTGTCCTGCTCACTGAGTTCGAGAGATCTGATTTACATCCGGAAGGAAAAGAAGTCCGTGGGACAGAATTGGATGCGGGCGGTGACTGGCGATAACGATTGCGGATAGATTCGCCAAGCCAAGAAAGGCTGCTTCTGATTGATAAGATGCGCGATATTGGGTTTATGTGTTGATCCATGGTTAATATAGCCATATACCACGATTGCGCAGCTGAAAAATCCTAATCAAACTAAATTTGATATTGTGGTCATAGACGAAGTTATGCACATCGATTTCTCCGATCCCTCCCCCCTCTTAACTGCACACTGCACTAGCCTGAGGGGTCACGGGTTCCTCAAAAAAAGCCTTGCCATCAAATCATCGTCTTGTATGATGTACATCGCGCAGTTCAAACTATGTGTCAAAATAGTGTTCAGGTTTTGAAGAACCATATTGTAACGAGCAGAAAGATTTCACCAAACGCAGGCCTGAATATGAAGGAATCGCGAGTAATTCTTCCACTTCTACCCGAGTCTATTCGCTTCTTCTAGTCACTCTCTCCCTCCGAAGGTAAGCCCGAAGGTAATAGAACCCCATACCAATAATCCAGACCGAAATAAGGATTACCGCTTGCAGAGGTGCGAAGACGGCTCCCCTCACCACTACAAAGCCACTGACGAGGGCAAAAACCAGCGGAATAGCGATGAAGGGTTTGTAAGGCCGATGAAGATCAGGCTGCCGGAATCGCAGAAGGATGGCACCTAAGACGGTCAAGAAGAAGAACGAGTACTCTCCCAGACCATTGAAGGTGAGAAGAGCGCGAAAATTTCCGAACAGCAGGTACGGGATTGGCAACAGGGTAGCCAGAATTGTGGCATTGATTGGCGCGTCCGATCGGGGAGTTGACTGAGAAGGAGGCTCTGGGTCAGGAGGCATTCCTACGTGTCCAAGCACACCCAGGAACCGAGGGAACCAATCCAGCTTCGATGCCGCGACAATCATGCGACCGGCCACAAAGGAGTTTCCGAGCAGGGAGCCGGCGACCACGAGGCAGATCACTATGGCAGCGAGGATACCAAACGCTGGTCCTAGGAGATGGGTGATTGCGGTCTGTATGTCATTAGCGTATGTAATCAACCGGGGGGGGGGGGGGGGGGGTGTGCTTGACATACGACGGCCACGCTGTCAGTGGTAGAAACGATCTTCCATGGAAGAAGGATGTAGTACGCGGCATTAGCGGCAAGGAAGCAAAGAATGATGATGGGGAGGGCAGTGTTGATGGCCAATGGAAGCTGACGAGCAGGAGCAGAGAGCTCTGCGCTAACGTAGATTGCCTGTCAAAAATGGTGAGTATTTTCACAGACTCGTTGTAGGGGCTTATATGCCTACCTTATCCCAGCCCGAATAAGCCCAGAGAGCACCATAGAGCGCGGTAGAATAGTAACCTAGCGATTCCCACCCGTGCATGGAACTCCAGTCGATCTCCCGACCGTCCGGCGTCCAGGTGTTCCTAGATCCGAACCAAGAGTGCTTGAGCCAGTCATTTGACCCAGCATCGCGGTTGATTCCGGAGACTTGCAGGATGACGACAACTAGACCAGCCACCACAATTGCGGCAATGGCTATGAATTTGGTCGTGACTGAAAAGCCATTCAATCGGGTGCTGACCTTGGTACTGATGGAGTTGGCCAGACCGATCACCAACAATACAAGAATGGAGAGCAGCTTATGCGAAAGGCTTCCAGCCTGATCGGTGACACCAGCCGCGGAGAAGATGCTTTCAATAAATACGATGCTCAAAACGGCCAGCGTTGCAGGCATCACGGCGACGATCCAAGTCCAAGCAGCAAGGAATCCAAAGACATCTCCGTAGATGTATCGAAGATATGGCTGCACGCCTCCTATTGTACAGTCAATACAGTCGATATACCTGATGGTAATAGAGTGAACCAACCTTCGCCCGGAATAGCAGTGCCTAGCTCGGCCATAGTGCTGGCACCGGTCCAGGCCAGAGTACCTCCGACCAGCCACACAATAAGCGCGACTCCTGGAGATGGAACATTTGTGTCGATGGAACCTGGAGAAGTGAAGATACCACTACCGATTACAATGCTGATGACGATGCCAAAGGCCTCGATGGCTCCGAGATTGCGGGTGAACTTTGGGCCCAATGCGGCATCGGTCCCTCTGGAATCGGCCAGGAGCGGGCGGCGAACACCCTCCTCTTCCGACTGATCGTGCGGAGACATGGGAGGGCAATTGATGACGGTTGTTCAGGTTAATGAGTGGACGTAAATGGCGCTGAAGGGATGGGAAAGAGGGGAAGAGTCGGCAGGATCAAAGCGAATCACGCCATCGGCTGGCGCGAACGTTTCATGCACGTCTGGCTTGATCACTTGCAGGGAGAAGAAGCTACCTCTCTCAGGGCGGTGACTCCGACAAACATTGGGGCATTCACAACATTCCCACGTGACTTCTCCTTATCTGCCTCTGAAAATGCACTTTTTCGCAAGGAGTTTATAAAAAAAAAAAACATTAAAAAGCACATACCTCTGGCTAAGTGTACTTGCTTTGAAACTATAATTCCAGTGGGCGTTATATCCACGCTTTCGGGAGGGACCATTAACGTGCGGACGGCTCAATCACACATACTAAGAGTTTGCAACAACTTAGGAGGGAGGGAGTAGAAGACTCAGCATAGAATATGTAATATACTAATTTCGTAACCATTATCATTGCCGCAAAGATAATTCAAGTACAACTACTCGCACCCTACTCCTGAATTAGAATACTACAAAGGTACCAAAAGTGTCCTGCCTAACGCGAGCAAAGTATCCTAGCCCTGCCATACCCTTCACTTTCTCATCTGTAAATTTGAATTCTTTTGTGACTATAAGAGCACACCAGTGCATCCAATACATTGTTAGAGGATAGAGAGTGTGCACAATGCCACTCATAGCACAATTCACGCAAGCATACAAAGCAAAAAGTGATGAACACTCGCCTAGGATTCTAGCGTAAATACATTCACTTCATGCCAAATATACACGATGAAAAGCAACGCTAATCATCTTAGCATGATCTCTCACCCAATACCTACTGCACGTATCGCAAGCTGTCAATCATGCAGACCGATCAGCCACCCGAGATGCCACCCAACCCGAAGGAGGAATCCCGCACCCTAAAAAGCGTCAGAAAGATAATGGAGAAGCTAGAAGGTCGAAACGTCCTCAACTTCATATCCCCGTCTTTTTGCGACGCAATCAACATAGTTCTGCTGCCCCTGGATCTTGAGGTCAAACACCATGGAAAGGGTAAATCTTCAACTACTCCCCTGCTCTTCGAACCTCTTCCAATCGAAGCTTTGCACACCTATCCCATCGACCCTCACCCCTACACCACAATAGACAAGCGTGAAGAATCCTGCTTCACTATTAAAGACTACGGAACTATCAAGAAAGACTCGTGCGAGTCATACCCGCCCTTCCGCTTGAAAGAAATTGCCATCAAGCTAGAAAGATGGATCCATCTCGCTCCACGAACTCATCGCTACTATGCCGTGCCCGCTACTTTGACGCATATTGGGATCTGGTATCCGTCCATGTGAGTACTTTGTATAAACCCAATAATACATTCAAACAATCCCATGGCTCTAATCTGTTGATGAATGCACCAGCACAACCGACAAATTGTACGCCCGGACATCCAACATTTATGACCAGCTCGGACAATATCTGTACACGGTGAATCGATTTTTTGAATGCATAGATGATAGGCACCCATATATCGTCATGATCACTCAACATTGGTGCCAAGAGCGATGTCCTGAAGACTCTATGATGCGATTTGAGCTGCTGGGAATACTTCAGACGATGCGCACCCGTCTGGAGCAAGATGAACTAGACTCGGAAGGGATGGTGCCTGTATGTTTCTCACAACCCCTGTGATAAATGTTGAAAGTTGTTGATCACTGACACCGATAATAGGTCCTCATGGTTTCGTTTATGATACCCTCACATGCTCGGATTCTGCAGGCTCATATGCACAATGGGAAGTTGGTTGTGGCGCACAGCCGCATTTATAGCTTCGAAACTATGCGTGAGGCGCCGATGGATCTGTTCACAAGATGGTTGCTTTCGACTCCTGTTGGGTTTTTTAAGGAAACTGATACGGACGACCAGTACCCTTGAAATGAATTGATGGATATGAAGGACAAATGGAAGGCGATGGTCGTTAATATGAGAAGTTGAATGGGAACCGAGGAGGCCTATCTCGTAGAGATTCGGGATTAGTCGCTTGCAAGATCGGTCCTTCAGTCAATGACATTGAAACATTAGCCGGTATGAGTGAGTCTTTTTCAGTGTAGATTGTATACTTATACAGGTCAACCTTGCCCCATACAAATAGAAATGTGTAATACGAGACGGAAGTTGAATCCAGGAGAAATATGCCACAAAGAGCCGGTAAAAAATTGGAGGCAGAGGGTCCATGATCACAAATCTAAACAGGGAATATCAAGAACTGCGAGCACAGCAAGATATAGAGTGGATTTTGAACACATCGTGGCCACTCGTGTTTCCGGAGTCTTCTAGAGTTGGTCATTCATATCAACTGTTGAGGCGATGTTTTCCAAGTAGACCAAAAGAGAAATCTCTCTTGGTACTGGTATCGCTTAGGTATTTGTTCCAACATCAACTAACATATATAACCGGGCAGAAATAAGTAAAGTTTGATATTAGGGTGACAGCAAAGCCTATAGTATCAACAGGAGAGATTATTTAGTTGTTAGGATTTCGAATACCTCAAGCATCCGCAAGGAGATTTTCGTTCATATACTTCAGGCCCGTATCCACGGCGACGGTAACCACCGTCTTGCCCGGGCCCAGTTCTTTGGCAAGAGCAATGGCCGCGACAACATTAAGACCTGTCGAAGTTCCAACCACTAAACCTTCCCCACGAGCTAACCGCCTGCACATAGCACGACCTTCTGCCTCTGAGATACCTCGTGCTTCATCATAAAGCTTAGAATCCAGATGTGGCGGCACGAAACCAATTCCTATTCCCTCGACGCCATGAGATCCAGTGCGCCCTTCAGTAGTGACAGGAGAAGCGGCCGGTTCGAGAACTACAACGCGCGTATCCGGCCACTCTGACTCCAGAACGCGTGAGACACCATAACCATGCCGGCACCTCCAACCGTACCGCAGAAGGCATCAATACCACCGGGGAACTGCGCTGCCAGTTCCTCCCGAAGTGTTTCATAACCAGGCAGGGCATCACCATTATTACCAGGCCAACATTGTGCTTTCTTCAGCCCATAGTCGAAAATCGACAAATCAATCTCTAACGTCTACCCCTAGTAACAATTGAGTTATGTTCTGTTCACAAGAAAGCAAAACAGCGAGGGGTGTTTGCATTGTTTGCCGGTAGAAAATACCAACGCTTGGCAAAGTCTTAGTGTGGCTTGGCAATGGCGCCCGATCCCGCTTAGTGATACAGACTCGGGGCCGGTTCATGCCGAAATCGGAAGGCCAGGCCGAATCATCTCGACCGCGTGCGTCTGAATCGGATATCAGCCACAACAACAGTTCAGCGACACTTCCCCAAGCCGCTGATCAACCCATAACGGTCATTATGACTCAATGAAGCGAGTCACGACTCTCTCAGCGCTGTGGCTGAGGCCATGATTTTCGTATGCCCCCGCTTGGCGCCTCCTATTGAGGGCACTAGCCAGCTGTGCTGACCAGAAGTGGGTCCAAGTACGTACGCTTTTTCATCCACTTGTGGCAACCAAGCTCACCTTGACCATAGGGCTTTGTAGTGGACATTTGTCCAGACTTCACAAGACCCCGAATGTGTCTTGCGTGACTCGCATAGTAATGCAGTGAACGCGTACGGCCATGTCATCAAAGTTTCATGATGCCCATCTTCTCTGGATCGGGATCTTCCCCATTACCCCCTTACGGGGCGACGGCAAGATCTGAGCCATGCTGCTCCTGGCTTAAACCATGGTACTATAGCTTCGCAGGCGAATAGGGCGATGCTTTGAAGGTTCACTAGCGTCATAGTCCGATTAGCTCGGCGATAAATCCACATCGGCCGTAGGCAACATCGTTTCCTTCGAAGGCTATGTCGTCAGATGCAACATCCAAACTGGGGAGAGGACCCCTCAATGAGCGTCATTTGCACCCAAAATTATCTCCTTTCCCTCTTCGCTGGATCGCAGACCCTATGTGGTCTCCACATCCCTAATGGCGCCTCCCAGGGGGCCACGAGTATAAGATCCCCCACGATCTCTCGTTGACCCCTCACTCATTCTCAACAACATCTACAAGCCACACACTTTTATCAAACAAACACTTCAAACCTTTCTTCCTACAAACAATCAACATGGGTCTTTTCCACCACCACCACGAGAACCAGCACGGCCCTGGCGGCCATGAAGGCCCCCACGGCGGTCCTCAGGGCGGTCCTGGAGGTCCTGGCGGCCCTCACGGCGGTGGCCCTGGTGGTCCTCATGGCGGTCCCGGAGGTCCCGGCGGCCCTGGAGGATTCGGTGGTCCTCATGAAGGTCCCGGTGGCCACGGAGGCCCTCACGGCGGAGGCCACGGCGGTCCTGGTGGTCCTCACGGCGGTCCTGGCGGCCCCGGTGGCCCTCACGGAGGCCCCGGCCGTTTCTAAAGCCCTGACGGACTACAACTCGAGGTATGCCGTGATGCTCTATGGTCTCAGTATGAAAGGATTCAACTGACTGTTATCGAATAGTACCGCAGATCATCAATTCGTGCAACCATTCGAGCGAAGCCATTGAGTCATGTCGGATATGTTTAAATTTTTGTGTATATACCATCGTCGTGATATCATAATGATACGTACTCATTATTGAAAAATGAGAAATTCTGGTGCTGCTATGGACGTAAATGAAAGGGGGGACGTCTTATGCATGTAGCATTGAGATCTGCGACACATGCTGGTAGTTATATATCATTTGTCATCAAAGGAATGCGGATGTCACGTCCAGGGCTGCAAGAGCATGCATGGTAAAGAAGAACAAGTGACCGCTGCTGTTGCTTTTCCTATTCCACATGCAGCAACCTAATTGTACCACAGCCAGTGACACCTCTTCTATCTAGCAGGGTTCATATACTTGGTAGCCTCAAAGATAATTCAGAAGAATTTCAATAATCTATCCTACACGACTCAACACCATCTCCTCATAATCCAACACATGCAACCCCCCTCCAACCTCCTCACCTTCCTAAAATCCAACTTCGATTTCATAACATCATTAACATTGGACACCACCACTCTCCCCCCATCCAGCAAAGTCCCCAAATTAAACATAGTACTATAAACCAACCCCTGAAAACTCGCCCCCTCGAACGTCTTCTGCTCCCTCGGTCCATCATACTTATACTGGATATCCGACCCCTTCGAGGGTAACCCTGCGCCCTTCCAGTTGCCGAAAAGCGAAGGATGCGACGAAACACACTTCAAGTAACCGGTCTCGCACAATCTCCCCAACATGACATCATACACGACACTCTGACCAGGCGGCATGCTCTCATCATCGGGTAAAACAGACAACGCTGCGAGTATTTTCTGTGCTGCGTTAAACGATACGGCATATGCACTGGAGCAGACTGCCAGTGAGGTTTTGCAGATAATGCGGTTGTGTTTGATGTTGTCGACAAGTTCGTGGACGGCTGGGCCGGCCCAGTATTGTGGAAGACCGTAGACGGGGATAGATGTTGGGTCATTCTTAAGTATGTAGAATGGGGTCTTCTTTTGGCATTTTGTTCCGCAGTGGCCGAGCCAGAGGATGTCCCAGTCGTCCCCGTAGGGCGTGGTCTTGGGGTGGGATTCGGCTTGGAGGGCTAGGGTTCCTAGCGCGAATTCTTGTAGTTGGTTCTTTAGTGTCACGTCCCAATCGACGTCGTCTTCAAGTATTAGGGCACTGGTTATGCGCTCTGAGACGATGCTAAATAAAGTCAGATTTGTGTCTGATTTCTAATGGAGATGTGATTACCGTTGCATCGCGTTCAGGTGGGCTCGCCAGCTGCCGATTTCACCGGCTAGCATGCGAGGTCTATCCGGTTCGTCGTACCGCTGGATAGAGTCTTAGTAGATAGTATGAGGCACAGTGGCCAAATAAATCTTACTGGTGGGTAGGCCTTTGGGCTCATATCTTCAGAGGATACGCCATCAATCCAGTCCACGCGGAACTGCGTGACTGATGAGCCTAGTGTGATTGCATCTCGTTTATCAGGTCGACTGGGGAGGTTGATACAGAAAATCCTTTCGAACTACGTCTCGATTAGAAATCGGATGTACTGTATGGTCTGGGATGAGAGCTCACCCCTAATGTTTCATTTGTGATTGTTGCCAGACTTAATCCGTCTGCTGAACGCAGCCCCTGCAACCCAGCATACCGTTCACCAGGACTTATCAATAATGTACCCCACAACACGAGGATAAACACCAGCGATAACCCCGCATAGAGCAATTTCCTTTGCCGATTCCTTTTGAATACTTGGATTGAAGGAGAGCTGGGTAGGTTCAATTTCAGCGCTCCCATGGTGAGCCGTCTAAGGACATGGCCGGAAGAGAGGGAGGTAGAGGAAGAAGGCGACCCCCAAAATCAATAATTCCGACCGAGAAGTTCCTTTCATACTTTTTTTGCTAAACTGTGAAGCCTGCAAGCTAGGTGGGGATGAACTGATAGCTGGAAGCCTATCGTGATGGACTTGCATGACCGGCGCTTAATGAGGCGATTTCATTGGCCGAAACCCACCGCTAAGCATACATGACGCACCCCAAGCATCGAATGATCACATCCGGATGTCCCAAGCAGGAAAACATGCTGACACCATTGTGAACCATTGAAGAGAGTGGCGGGCAAAGAAAGAGGAGAACCAGAGGCCTCAGCCTCGCATGCTTTTCCACATGACCCAGACTATTTCGAATGGCAACAGCCTATGTGATTGTTGGTATTCAATCCCCCTAAGTACCTTCATTGCGCAAATTGCTAAGTATTACCTATTGGGACCAGTTCTATTTAGATTTGGGTGTTCATATTCTGCCCTACGACATTGATGAAGCCTGTCACGTGCCATATTATTGTGCGTCCGACCACAGCGTCACGTGGCATATCGCCCGTACCTCGCTGGTCCAAGCTTCTTGCTCGGTTCCACCTTGATGACCCTTAATCTTTTTCTCAAAATCATAGAAACATCGATGACCTCATATCTCTGGTCAGGCGGGGATACTCCGGGTTGCGCCGGTGCAGAGGCGACGAGGGCGTCCAACCCGGGCGTGCGATGTTTGCCATGTTAGGAAGGTGAGAACATCTACCTCCTGGATCTAGACACATACAATCTAACCACAGAACTATTTTAGTTCGCCTGTGATCGGGCAACACCAAAGTGTGACTGGTGCGCCTGTCATGGTCTACAATGTACCTTCTCCAGATCTAGCCCCGGGGGCTCTTCAAGGTGGGAAATATTAGCGCCAAATTCGAATGACACTAACCCTACTGTCTTCGCCAGTATAAAGCAACAAGGTATCAGACTTAAGTGTATGTATTGCCCTTGATAACTTATTTTTTTTTCCCTTGCTAAGTAATTTCATCGTAATGAGGCCTCGCAAGCGCATATCCTACAGTCATGGCTTGGACTCCGGCCGTTGGCTACAATGACCCGTTTGCGGGCCGTCACTGGGGGAATGTATGCACGTTCGATGGCACGCCCATCTTCTCAACAAGCGGCTTGCAATGGCTAACCGCATGTACTGCGAGAGAGCTTACAGTCGCTCATTATCCAATTTCCGAGGCTCCCAGGTGGCTAGACTCTGCTGATCCACTGTCTCCACTGCCTGACCAGAACCACTTATACGTAGAGATCCAGAAGTATCAAGCTTCTGATTTTAGCCTTTTTTTCCCCATTCTTGACCCCTCGCTAATAACTCACACTATTCAGGCAGCATATTATGGACAGATATCAACAGGATCACCTTGTTTGAGCTGCTCCAGGGCCGCGATATTTGCTCTTTACTCGCTTGCGCTATCTGTGGTGCATGGGGACGAGGAAAGTGCGCTGGAGTCGAGCGTTAGATATGCTCGTGGAGCATATCGCCTTGTGCCAGAAATCTTCAAGGGAGCTGCAACACTGGATGGGCTGCAGGCTGTTCTCATGCTCGAGAGTCGGCCTTTCTAACATATTGACCAACGGAGATTATCTCTCTCCCCCCAGTCTTTGTGTTGCCAGGGGCTTGCAGCAGACTTTTAACCATCGATTACCTACTGGCAACGGCAACTCGGTTGAAATACCAGCTAAGGCTGAATTTATCCCCTGACGGGAGCTACCCCTCTAGCCGTCAATATCCACGCAAGACGCTTATTCCGCATAGCCTACGTTTGTGATATAGGCTTGACCTTGCTAACTGGCCTTCCCCCACGATTCGAAGACTCAGAATGTGATCCAGCACCTTCCCTCTTCGAGAATGCCAACGACCCTGCACGTATTACAAATGCATACCTGGACGCATACGTCTGCCTGGCGCGCATCCAGTCTTGCATTTACCGTGGGCTATACTCCCCCGAGGCCCTGTGTCAGTCGAATACAGATCTCTTCCGAACAATCCGGAACCTGGACCAGGACTTGGAGAAGTGGAAGGATAGCTTACCGCTACCAAATCGACCCACGCTGATACCCGCTGCACACGATCTGATGCTTCAAAATACCGATATGCGGTTCTCGGTCTTTAACCCCAGCACCGGGACGTTTAACTGAGTGCAAGCCGGCCTCGACGCTCCTGCCCACTGAATCGAAGCAGTTGCAGACGCAAAACCCGCCGTCGTAGTAGACCCGGACCCCGACCCAGAAGCATCAGCAGAAGCCGGCAGACTCGAAACCTTACCCCCCTGCATCACAATACTTTCAAACGTCCACTCTTATCACTGTACGCATAGCTCTCCGCCGGGTAATAATGAACGATATCCACACTCCTCACAACCATAGTAAACGGCGCCTGGGAGTAATCAGTCTCTCCATCCGCCCAATCGATCGTCCCCTGGTTATTCCGGATCGCCACTAGCCCAGATCCCAATCCTGACCTGCATGGAAGTCTGCGGGTAGAGGGTCCCGTTCGCGGCGTCGGAGTAGGAAAGTGTACGCGTGGCCGTGCCGTCGATACTCCACGTTAGAGACTCTGGGGTCTAAGATAGGGTGTAGTTGTGAAAGGTAGATTGGGGGTCATCGATGGGCTCCCAGGTCCAGCAGTTGGAGGTGGAGGAGTCGCCTTTGCCGAAGTAGTCGGTTTGGAGTTCGGTTTTGTAGCTTCCTAGAACTTACTCATTCGCAGAAGAAGGTATTCATTTAGCTGAGGGTGTACTCAGTACAATATGTGGTGGTGGTAGTGGTGTTTACCTAGTCGACTTCGTCGAGATCATCTGACTCTAGAACTATACTGCTGATCATGCCCGTGCCGGCGGATGCTTTCATAACGATGCTGATCTCGCCGAAGAAGATGTAGTTTGGCGTTTCGATTGTGGGTGCATCACCCTGCTTGTTGATTGTGAGTTCGACGCCCTCGGAGCTGATGGTTGGGTTGCCTGAGAGGGTCGTCCATTCCGCGAGTGTCGATGAGCTCTCGACGAAGTTGTAGTGCAGTGTGCTTTGTGTTGAGCCTGTGTCGGACGGGCAGGTCTGTGCCAAGGTATAGGGGATTGTGGAGAGGAGCGCGGCGTTATATTTCAGTAAAAGTGACATTTTAGAATGCGGTAACCTTGGGATTTGATTTTTGAGGGACTAGTATGAATATCATGTGAATGGTTGATTCTTGTGTTTTTTAGTCAGATGATGGTGATATTATATCTTGTGTACTTCTCATAGCCGAGTGTGAAATATATATTCCACAGTAACATGATGCTTTAGTACTCCGTATGATCTCGTCAACTCGATGAAACAACACCACAGCTTCAATGCCCTGCTCCCAGCCTCTCAATACATTTCATTCGATCATGATACTCGAGAGACGGCTTGTGGGTTGCTATTAGTGCTTTCAAGTGTAGTCAGGTCATTGTGGTGGACACTATGAAGAACAAAAAGGGCTAGATTATCCCGCTTTGTCATGATAATGTGGAATTTGATGTAAATCTAGCGAATCACAGCCCGAGAAAGCCGTAATTTTCCGATTAGTCAGAATGTTATATGCTCCTAAAATCCAGTCGTAAAGTCTTCAAGAACTTATAGTGAGCGAACCACGAACGGAGATAATGAAGCCAACTATAAGACAGCGAGCCAATGCGAAAGTGGCTACTCCATCCCATGTTAGCATGTAACTTGGACACTGGCCTACTGAAGATCACCTCAACCCCGGCTCAACAACCAGCCCACCTTTCAAACTTACTCTGCCCAACATCAATCAGCCTTGGCAAGCAAACTACACAACAACAGGTGCTGTGGTCTAGTGGTATGACGTCACGTTGTGGCCGTGCCAGCCCCGGTTCGATTCCGGGCAGCGCCAATACGAACAATTATCCTTTTTTTGACGAGTGATATTCTTTCCTAGCTAAATCCGAAGAGAAATTATTTGGAGCCCCCATCTATATCTATACAGAGTTAGGTTCAATTTTTGCCGCTGCTACAACTTCCTTTATCGGGGAAGACACAACTGGTTATATGTTAATATATCCAGTAAGGAAATAAAAAAAATTGGAAAATCCAAAATCAATTAGGATATCTTGAACAACACTTATTATTCATATCCCTGTCTACTGCTGTCTGGATTATGGATGTAATAATGAATATTTGCAGATATTTGCGGTACTATTCTGCAGTCCAGGGTACCTACCGGGGGAATGAGTGATGTCAAATTCTTTAGCTGTTGTGCTGCACGGTGAGCAGCAGCTGTCCCTTATATCGGTCATCTACTCTTCCCAAGTATCTGATATGTGACCGTCATAGATGACGAATGTATGTACATTCGATTGCAGTCTATATGAAGTTAACAGCTATGACTCACTAACCAAAACAGCCTCTGGTCCTGTGAAACCCTTCAGTATAGATCCAGCCCGATCAGTTCCCTCGCCCGCTTCGAAAGCACCGGGCTTTGTAGCGGCCTCTTGATGGCCGCTTCGTAAGTAGGATGATCTGCCGGTGGCAGGTACTCCCTGACTCGAAAATCAGCCGGATCATGTGTTGTATTCTGCTTCGCTTCGAACGCCTGCAGGCGCACCTTTTTCGCCTCCTCTGAGATAGCGGCGGCCGGCTTGTAGCAGACATCTTAGTTTAAATCGTTAGCATTCCTATATCAGCATGGAAATAAAATTTTTTCGCATACAGGCAGCGAAGCGGTCATTGACCGAAGAAGGAGCAGCGCCGTAATGGATCGTGCGCTAGTGCGCTATTAGCCAACTACAAACTCAAAATATATTAGAGATAGGAGCACGCACCGAGTCCCAGAGCAGCAGATCGCCTGGCTCCGCGCACACCTTGGTCCATTTGCATCCTCTAGCCTCAAGCCACTGGCACATCTCCTCGTCAACACTCTGATAGGCCCACGTGCTCCATCCTTTTTCACCCTTCTTGTGGTCAAAGTGTTGCCACAGCTCAGTGTAGCAAGAACTTGACCCTTCAAACACCATCAGCCCGCCATCCTCAGGGCCATTTGGGAGCAAATTCAGAATTCCCTGGACGGTGTCGAACTTGTTGTTAAAGGGGGACTGGTCAACATGCGCCCACGGCGCGAAAATAGGATCCGACTTGGGACGTTCCTTTTCGGGCAAGGAAAGGTTCAGCCCGTCTGCACAGTCAGTACTAGTCATCATGAGAGATCAAGGAAATTTATACCGAATGAGACTAGCAGCTCGCGGGTGCCCCAGATCTGCTCCCACTTCTCCACAAGCCCCGGCTCTGACTTCAAATCCCACACGAACTGCTCGTGGCCGACGCCGTACCTATGCTCGCGGCAGTGTTACTGCTGCCGCTACCTACTACAGTGCATGATAACTATTGATGGAGACAAACCTGCTGTAAAGTCCCCCACGAGTGTGCCAGGGGAGGTTTGCTGCCTTGCGGGTGGACGGGTCCTTGCGGTCGAACCCCAGGTCCCAGCTTTCAAGCCATTCGTAGGCCTTATTGGCATATGCCAGCGCGGTCTCCCTTGGTAGGGCGCCGCGGACAACCGTCCAACCCTTTGTGTGCAGCTCGACCAGCCAATCGGGATGCTGTAGCAAGCGTGGTGAGCTGAGTGCATGGGTATAAGCCAGGATAGCGGGGTCGTAACGGACCTTTTCGGCATCCCCGTCAACAGCGGCGAGCCGGACGGTAGGGCGAATCTTAGTCTGCGTGCTGACGGTAGTTCCGATGGAAGTAGGCATGACTTATATTGAAAGTGGCTGATGGAAATCAAGTCTTGATTGTTGGGGATATGGATACGCATGGGGAGGTGAGGTGGGGTAAGGTGTCACTTAGCTAGTGTACTGACGTGATCGAAGCTCGATTATGGCGGGCCAGTCACGCCATATTATCTTATCTACTCAGCCTCCGCTCTAGCTATAGCCAGAGGTCCTTTCATCGCATGCCGTATCATCACTGTTAGTCTTTCTCTTGTATTCTCAAACCTATAATTATAACAAGACAGCTTAAAATTCGCTATGGAGAGAGCATTGAACCGTACAGTTCTGTTGCAGCTTTCGCAGTCCTCTATATACATCTTCTGACATTTCTGAGAGTCAGTAACGATGCGATCAGCGACCGGGTCAGAAAACTTGACAATGTTAGGGCTGACGGGAGAGTTTAACAGATGGCTTAATAGGTTGTGTGGCAACATATCCGCATCATGGCGGACTTACTAAGTAGTAATTTGTGTGGTGACGGAGCCCACAGACTATTCAGCATGTTAAGATGCTCAGAGACATGTTCAGAAGCTACAGTTTCTAGATTCTGGTCGAAGGCAGAGTTGGGATAAAGCTCCTATTTATCTCCCTTGGCAGTTTCTCACGAGCGAAAGATGTGCATAAATCCACATGCTCAATTGGAATGCAAACCGGATCCCCTAAGCATCCCCCAAGCATCAATAATATGGATATCTTTCCCTCCTTTCCCTTAATTCTAAGAGTAATCTCTTAAAATGATTTCAACTACACATCGACATCAAAATCCCAATTGTATCCGACGGGACTCAAGTAAAGCCATTAAGCTAACCACTAGCTTTCCTGCCAACCACCGTAAGCCGAGTAAAGGCCCAGTATGCCCCGCCCTGTGTTTCCTTCACAGCCTCAGGTATAAGCTGCGAGAATTTCTCACTTAGAGCCGAATTCTGCGTTGTGCGGGCGAGCATTTCAGGAACAATCAGGTTGCATTCATGCTTTGCTACAGCCATATACGGTGGGGCATCTTTGAGGTCGCTTTCCACCTCTTCCAGCTTTGCCTGCTGAAAGAAATAAGGGATCTCGGGAACCCAATGAGGAATGGTACGATCATCCGCCCCCCTGCCTAAGCGCATGAGTTCCTTAAGGGCGTCGTCTTTGCAGCCCGGGCTGGTCTTTTCGATGCGATATGAAAGGGCATCTATTTCGGCCCATTGGAGATAGCCACCAGGCTCTGTGCGATAATTAGCATGCAATAGAAGATTAGGGGTGGGGCCCAAGGATTTATATTGCGTGCATACTCAATAGTTGTAAAACGTTCCCGATGACCCTCTCAGCCTCCGAGTCCCTTATTACAAAGGAAAAGTTGCGAACGTGAACAATATCATAGACACCACGGAGGTGATCAGGCGTCTCGGATAGTATGTCGTATGAGTGTAGAGTCATATTTGAAGGAAGGCATTCTTTTGGGGGGAGAGCGCTGAAAGATATATCAAGGCCATCTAGGGATACGTTGCTTGGAAGTCGACGTGATAGATCTGTCAACCAGATCCTGGTTGGAGCGTTAGCAGTAAGCTAGTTATTTTGCCTTTCTGCATGTTTTACCACCTACCCAGTGCCAGTGCCAACGTTGGCAATTCTCAAGTTTGGGTTGCTTGTAGGGATGGAAGGGTGGATATGGTAGCCGAACAGTTCGGTCCACAGATAATGTTGGAGGTTGATGCTGCGATTTCAGTTAGCAGTTGTACATCGAACATATTGAGCAAAACGTCCCGATTATCATCATGGAAATCACGAGTGAAAACGTATTCGGGCTTAGTCATGATGTAATTGAGAATCGATCTAGTAATAAAGCTTTTGGATGTCTATTAGTTTGTCCCCGGAAAGCATTAGGGCTTTTATGTGCTACAAATTGAGTACCGCAGACGTATGCTTTCATTGATGAAGATGAGGCACTCTATATAGAGAAAACAGCATAGATGACACGTCATTATTTAAATTAGTTGAATCATAACCGTAGAAATTATGAGGAATATAGCGATGAAGGGTACCATGATAATTTATTGTCCTTGGACCTGGATCACCAAACTGGACGACCGCCGAACTGTCATCAAGTCAATTAGCTGCAAGACAAGGAATCAATAAACTATGTCATCCTATACCCAAACAAAGGGTATAGGGTTGAGCTGGCGTAACTAGGTGTAATATTGACTAGCAAAGCTGTCAGAGGCACGGCGCGCTTTCCTTAGAGCAGGGGGTGAGACAACCAGGAAATGATAAGCTTCGGGTATGATCCGGTGGCTTGGAGTTCAGGTATGCGAACCCTGATGGAGATATATGGATACGACGTGGTAGGCTGTCGGAACCATGGTTGACGCGGAGAGAAAGAAACAGGAATAAGGAAGTCCAGGGGAAATTGAGGAGCAGGGTTGAAAAAAGAGTTACGCGCACCAGGACGAGTGGTAAATCAACAGTCGACGAGTAATTAAATACCCGCACCTGGAGATAATGTATATCAGAAGCCTAATTTATCTTTAACAACCATTCTAGAAATGTATACAGGCATTGGTCTATCGTATAAAACTTTTTATGAAACGACATTTGATCTCTGAATAAACAGATTCATTGGAGAAGTACCTTATCAAGATAATCGGAGCCAATCAAGTGGGCCTAGTCCTGCAATTAGCACATACTCTGTAAGCTAGGCTATGGTGTGGACTCCACATCCCAGATTGCATCAAGCAAGTTAGTTCATGTCTAGCAATACATCATTCGTGGCGGTCTATCCGAGAAACTGCTTCAGGAGCAGGATTGTGACGAATTGACGGTTTTAGACCTAATGGGCAAGCCTTTTCCACAGCAGCGCCAATGCCTATACCGAATAGTCGCCATCTGTTACAAAGACTCATGGTCACGTGATGAATACGTTCGTCATGTCTCTAGTTATTGTACGTTGTAGTTGGTGTAACTAATGATCTTATTTGGAGGCTACACTTGTGGACGATTGTTTGATAACATCTGCCTTATAGTCATTGTCTCAGCTTCCTTCACTGCTGGAAGGACAATCAGACTTAGTCGCTATTCCTTTTCATGACAGAGTTGCGGTGAGTAGGGCCGTTCAGATCCTACCAGTCAACATGACTGATGCAAGACATGGCCACACAGCCTCACTTCGTTTCAGACTAACGATAACGAGGCTCGGGTGAAGGCAGAGCATGGCCGCAAGAGCTAATCCCGGCGAGTGACAAATGTTAACGCAGGAGGCTTCCACTTCCCACAATGGTGTACGTTAGCGGCAACGGCCTTAATATACCGACCCCATTGCTCTATGACGTGCAGAGTCCTTAGTGGCCCACGTGAGTAGCTCAAGAAAATCCATGTAGCAAACCTTTGCGAATAAACTGCTGGATCATACCACGTGTGAAAATTTGACCCTGGAGTTCGAAAGCCGGAATAAGGGATCGACAACAACGTCTCGGGAAGGCGATAGAACAGCCTCGGCACGGCAGCGAGTGGATCCGTGGCGCCATAAAAAGTCCTTCTCGAATTCTTCTCTTTCTCGGCCCGTTGTCGGAACCGATTCGAATAGAGTCATGAAAAACCTTATCTCAATCCAAAAGCTACCATTTACTTTGTCAACGGTATCTTGGCACTCAAGGCGAACCAAAGAGATATAATATAGATATCATATGAATGCAAATAACTCTGCGAGGCGTGAGTGGAAAGTTCCTGCGGTCTGGTGTGCGACATGCGGACTTCATTCGGAAAAATCTGCGGTTGGAAGGTGGATCTGGTGGACCAAACTTGCCGTTACATTCCTTGAATTGCACTCCACAGAAGCCGACGTGAAGTTTTCTTCACTTGTTCCCTGGGTTTCCACAGGATAACGTTACTCAAATGGCAGCAACGCCGTGAGCCGGTTCGGTTTGCTCGGACCAGTCCCTATTAATAATGTATGATCAGGATCGTAGAGACTGAGCGTTTATAAAGACTGGGTAGGCCATTTTTTCGTTAGGATCCATCCATCTCTCTTTATTCTAGATACCCCTCACATTATTCAAAATCTTCCCAACCATGAGCCTTACGTATGACGTGTTCCGTGGCTCTGCCGAGGGCCGCATTGTCGCTGACAAGGCTTCGTCCACCCTTGGACACAATGAGGTCTTCATTGAGACCACCCACTCTGGTCTTTGCGGCACAGATGAGCACTACCTCAAGACCAACCAGGTGCTCGGTCACGAGGGTATTGGAATCGTCAAGTCTCTTGGCCCCGGTGTTACCTCCGTGAAGGTTGGAGACCGTGTTGGATTCGGATACACCCACAGCATCTGCACTTCCTGTGACAACTGCGCTACTGGTACTTCCTTTACATGTACGACACATGAATCATTATGCAGGCTAACCCCTTCGAACTAGGCTGGGATCAGTACTGCGAGAACCAGAAGCAATACGGTTTCCACGACTTCGACAACGGAACCTTCAGCTACGGTGCTGTCTGGGACGCCAACTGTGTCTACCCCATTCCCGATGGCTATGACTCCGCGTATGCTGCTCCTCTCATGTGCGCCGGTGCTACTGTCTGGACTGTCTTGAGCGAGTATGGCATTCGTTCGACTGACCGCGTCGCCGTCATGGGCATTGGCGGTCTTGGTCACGTTGCCATCAAGCTGGCTGCTGCCATGGGCTGCCACGTCGTTGTCCTTTCCAGCTCTGAGTCCAAGCGCCAGGAAGCTATGGACTTTGGTGCTTCTGAGTTCCACGTTTTCAAGTCTGGTGATGCCGTTCCTGAGGGCTTCAAGCCCGTCAAGCACCTCTTGCTTTGCGGCAATGCCGGTGTTGATTACCCTTCGTACGTTGACCTCCTGCCCCCCTTATCGCTTTCTCCTTTGCGTAGTAGCTTTGTTCGTGCATATAGCTAACGTGAAAACAGTCTCATTCCCCTGATGGCTACCCACGGTAGCATCTACCCTCTGACTGTGGCTTTCGAGCCTGCTAAGGTGCCCATGCTCGGCCTCGTGTGGAGAGGTGTCCGCATCCAGGGTTCCCTGGTTGCTTCCCGCCAGAGCATCCGCAGCCTTCTCGAATTCGCTGCCAGGAAGAAGATCTACCCCACTATCATGACCTTCCCCTTGAACAAGGAGGGTATTGAGGAAGCCATGCAGACCCTGCGCGAGGGCAAGATGAGATACCGTGGTGTGCTGGTTCGCCAGTAGACACTATCACGATATCTTTTCCTTTCCCTATTATTACAACCTGTAGTACTAGTCACGATGATGATAATGTTGAGATAGAATAAATAGATAGAATCCTAATCGTATAATGATGCCTGATCAGGAATGTCCGCTAGACTTACCGGAAATAGACATCCGATTCCTCGCACTAAGCTGCCTCAAGTTAGCACCGGCTTCGGGCAATCACCGAGCCGAAAGACAAACAGTGCAAATGTTGTTGTATCACGTTTCATCGCCTAGCAGTAAGTCACATGACTGGCCATCGATAGCAACAGCACTGCCCTAGATTATATATATAGAAATTAGGGATGTTTGCATCAGTCAGTGAATGTATTTAATGATCTAAATCTAGAACAATGTATGGAAGACTAGCTGTATCTCCATTTGTTGCGCCGCTCAGTAATGACATATAAATAGCGGTTGTGGGTCAAGGTACTATTGTCATTCTTGTTTTGAAAGGGGGAAATTGTCAGTGTTCATACTAATTGATACCCCCATCTTGAATTGAGTTGCAGTACACTTTGAAGATAAAGGGATGAAGGCAATCTAAGGTATTATAATTTGTAACCTTGGCGAAAGTACCATCTCTGATGGCGAAATACAGCTGATAAATGGCCTGTCCTTTTCAAATCATTGACGTACCTAAAATACTTCTTGTACTTCGAATGCCGCATATAAAGAGACTCAACTATTTAAAATATTGGGATTCTCTGTAGTTGTGGCTCCGTGCGTGGAATTACCCGACCCTGGAACGGCCAACAAGCCATGGTAAGTGCAGGTAAGCACTAAATTCCCTAACCTAAGCTACTACTAGCTTACTACTAAGCGTGACATTGAATGGAGTATTGATAGAGTCTAACTAACAGCTAACAGCCTTGCCTTACCATTATTTTCTCGTCTTCCTAAAATCTGCCCCACTCTCATGGGCGTGCGTGGGTATAAGTAAACTCCCCAAGCATTCTCAGCCCCTCTGCTTTTTTTAATCCTACCTCTTTCCGCCCCTAGACTACTACATAGTACATAACAGCAATGTCTGCCTCCAAGCCCGTGATCCTCCTCATCTCAGGAGGCTGGCACGTTCCCACCTCATACGACAAGCTCACCAACCTTCTCAAGTCAGCCGGGCACGAAGTCCACGTCCCTGAGCTACCCTCAATGAACGGCGCGCGGCCCCCAACAGCCGATCTAGAAACCGACACAGCTGCTTTTCGCGAATACGCATTGAACCTCGCCAACGCTGGCAAAAATGTCATTGTGATCTCCCATTCCTACGGCGGCCAAGTAGCTACCAATAGTCTTTCGGACCTAGAAATCTCAAACCGAAGCAAACAAGGCCTACCTGGTGGAGTACTTCATATTATCTCACTCTCTTCGTTCACCGTTACTGAGGGGCGAAGCATGTTTGACATCGTGGAACAGTTCGGTCACGCGTCGTTGATGCCCGTGGCATTCGATTTCGCGGAGGATGGAACGTGCGTGGACCGCGATCCAAAGGGTCTACTTGTTACGCCTGGTCCGGATGAGTCCGAGTCCGAGGTAGAATGGTATTTGGGGACCCTCCAGCGGTGGAATGGCAAGTGCATGTACCAGCCTATTACTGCCAAGCGAGCTGCTTGGAGGGATATTCCTGTGACATGTGTCTTGTCGACTAGGGATATGACTGTTCCTGTTGACTACCAGAGGTGGATGGTGGAAGTGATGAAGAAGGAGGGGGCAGAGGTTGAGGCTTTTGAGCTGGATGTGGGCCATTCGGTTAATTTTAGTAAGGCGAAGGAAGTGGCTGAGATTGTGAATAACGTGGTGGCTCGCTACGAAGACAAGTGATGCGATTACAATGTAGAAAACTACGAGGCTCACTCGGCTTATTGAAACAAAGACGTAGAGGGACCTTTAATATACGAGAGTAGCTTTCTACTTTTTGAGATTCACTTGAAAACTGCCCTGATGCGGCTGAATACCGATAACCACGTTAGGCACTGGCCCTCAACATTCTCCTTACCGGTGCGATGGCCTGCCATCTCACGGCTCCTTTCGAAATCCCCATAGCTCCCGCGAATAGTTACGCTCAACCCAGTCTTTATCCCCATAGGCCGATTCGGTTTCGCGAGTTGAGCCGGCCTGAATCGAGTTGCCCAATAACGTATGATCAGGTGGAGCGCGCCATCAGGTTCTAGTCTATCATATTGGCACATCCCCCACGCACCAGTCAATGTGCCCCAGACCAGCCAGCCGCAACTCAAGAGCTAGTCTAACGCGCCGACCCTTGTCATCTGGAAATTTTGCTCATCGCCTCGCAGGACTAGGCTACAATTGCCCCACGCGGCGCAGGAGGTGTGCATTACTACCAACCTGACCTTTCAGTTCTACCTGAATCAAATCTCTCAATCCAGGATTCTGTTAATCCTTAATTGCGAATTGTCAGGGAGAAGTCCAATGTCTAGGCTGACTTGATCTTTGGTGTTGCTCCCATTTTCCTCGGAAGATCCGACCTTCTTCTATCAATGAAGTCGCCGTAAGCACCTCTCTATCCCACTTTCTAGTGTTTTTGACAATTTGTAGATCATTGAATGAGAATCCCTAAATACTCCAGCATCCGCCATCGCAATCTAAATTCTATCATATATCAAATCCATCTCCCCGCTTAACCCCTCAAGCACGTCTCTGCCCCCTCCCCTTAGTGAACCACACCACCACATAAACCAACACAAAGTTCGTACAGCAAAAGCCCACAAAAACCGCCCAAATACACCAGCGCTGCCCATACGAATAATCCAATGTGTCCAGATACTTATCACCGACCGAATACGGACAATATGAGCAATCTGCCGTCGCGCTCGGATTAACAATGTAGCCGGGATTACTCCCCAAGAAGGCCGCCGTATACTGGCCACAAGTACTGCCTGGTGGGGCATCAAACACGACGAGATCATTCGAGGAACACTCAACCGCAACACCGTGAAGGACCGAACCGAGCGAAGCGCCGAAGAAGTAGCGCATGGGATCGATCCAAAACAGCCAGGGGCGGTAAAAATCGTTCAGGTATGCATGGGGAGTCAAGACTCCAGAAACAATCATAAGGATGACCCAGAAGAGGGAATTAGCGTACCCGCCTAGATTTGCGGATGGGAAGAGCGCAGCTAGGAGGTGGGAGTATCCGGTTCCGAAAATACCGAGGAGGATCCACATGAAGTAGTAGAGTCCGGCAACAGGGGTTTCGTTTGGATAGCCAACGGTCCAGTAGGTGGCTAGGTAAAACAATGTATAGGTGAACAGCTGCCACGGTATTTCAACAACGATTAACGCGGTAAGAAGTGCGCGCCAGTCGTAGATACCGTTCTGCTCTCGGGCTGTGAAGATGGCCCATTTACGGAACCAGAGGTCCTGGAGATCAGCGCAGGTGGTGGGGATAATCCAGGAGAGGAGGAGCAGGGCGATCATCTGACTTTGTAGACCTTGGAGGGTGTATCCGGCGTGGAAGAAACTGAAGGCTATGAACATGGAGACGAAGAAAGACTTGGCTATTTTGCTGAAGTTGTACATCCCGTCCCGCCAGACAGAAATCCAGTGGCGCTTGGTGACTGCGATGGTCTGGGCCCAGAGGGATAGAGCGTATTTATTCTGCGAGGAGGATGCGTAAAGCTGCGAAGAGTTGATCTTTGTCTCCTTGCTGGCGATGCTGGAGTTAAGCTGCGTTATATTTGCTTCCAGGGCTTGGTTTTCAGCGGAGGCATGTCATATAGCCGGCCAGTCCAGCGAGCCTTCGTTCTTGGACGTGACAGTCGAGAGGATGAATTCAGCGGGGTTAGTGTCGCTTCCAATTATAGCGCCATGACGCCCGAAATAATCGACGACTTCTGAGGATTTTTCACCCGTCTCGCCAAAGTAAACGGTCCGGCCTCCTGGGGCAAGGAGTAGAACTTGGTCGAACATATCGAAAAGAACACCGGACGGCTGGTGAATTGTGCACACGACAGGAATACCTTCAGCTGCGATACGACGCAAGAAGAGCACGAGCTCAAATGAGGCCTGGCTGTCAAGTCCGGAAGTAGGCTCATCGAGGAACAAGAGCGAACTAGGCCGTGCCGCAAGTTCGACTCCGATAGTGACACGCTTACGCTCTTCGACGCTGAGCTGTCCATCTCCCGGCTGGCCTACCAATGCCTCTGCAATATTCTCGAGGTCAAGAAGATGAATAATATGCTCGACGTAGGCCATCTTATTCTCGTTTGAGATGTGCGCGGGCTGGCGCGAGTGTGCCGAAAATTCCAATGCCTCGCGTACGGTGGCGAACGGTTCATGAATGTCCTGCTGCATTACAAATCCACATGAGCGCTCGAAGGACTCATCCAACAGTTCACTATTAAGTCGAAAAGTTCCTTCAATCTTGCCTGTTCTCTTGCGCTGCGCAAGCGTGTCCAGCAGGGTAGTCTTGCCAGCTCCCGAGGCACCCATTAGGGCTGTCAGCTGCCCGGGGCGGGCATACCCACTCACTTTGTGCAGCAACTGCTTGTCTTCACCATCGTGTGCGACTGTGTAGCTGACATCGGTAAAGGTAAAAGTGCTGTCCGAGGCACCTTCGGTTCTCATACCGTCAGTTTGGGAATCTTCGCAGACCGTCTGCGTAGCGGACGAGGAGCTCGCAGCCGACTTGGGCAAGCTCTCCTCATCACGTTGCTTGGACAACTTGAAGATACGGCTCTGCGATCCTCCAGATTCGCGGGTCATGACGGTGAGTCCAATGCTACCCAATACGGTGTAGAGGAACCAGAGAACGACGACGATACCGAAATTGCGCCATAGATGGTCGCGGGTGTAGCCAAAGTGATCTGCCAAATATACCGAACCGGCAACGGAATCGTGGGCTTTCAGACTGCCCGTTATACTGCAAGTCTGGTACTGGAGCTCGGTATATGAAGAGCCGTACGGGACCATTTCGCTTTCTGAGCACGTCAAATTGATGCCAGTAAACTCATTACCTATCAGTGCCTCAAGAGCATAGGGCGATGGCGATGCGCGACGTAGCCACGAACCCCACCGATGCTGTGTTGGCCGGGTAGGTCCGAACCCCGAGTAAAGCAGACCAACCGGGATGGCACTACCTGCCATCATTAGGGCCAACGAAATATTAGGAACCCAAGCTCCCAACATGCGGAACAAACTTTGTACAGCAGTATAGTGAGCGAACACAATGAGGACAAATATCCAGAATGAGGATGCCGTGCGTTGCAGGTCAATGCTGAAGTAGTAGAGGCACGAGAAAACGAGACACTGGAAGAAAGAAATAGGTATGTCTGCGATTGCTTGCGCAATCACAAATGCACTAGGGTGAAGGAAGCCGTACTGAGCTTGCTTCAGAAGAATGCTCCGAGATTTGACAGTCGAGACAACCTCGGTCAGAGCATTGAGATAGAAATATATAAGAGCAAAGAACAAGGCACTGCTCTTCTCATAAGACCCTGTCTCGTCCTTCGGAGCCATATAGTACGCCGGCCCATTTATCACAGCATTCAAGACGACAAAGGCCAGTATGGTCAAAAAGGTCCGCTTGTCGCCCCATAACAACTGGTAGTACCGGAAAATCGTGATCCAGATCTGCTTCGGGAGTGGATTAGGTGCAATCGCGAGCTTGGGTGCCCAGCGGGAGCGAATCTGCTGTACATTATCCCGGAATTCCTGTATTAACCGGCTGTTCTTACCAACCTGGATATGATACGCTTCTATCTCCTTCTGAAGCTTCAGATACTCGTGGCTCTCGCGGAATGCGGCAGCCAGTTGATCAGGATCGGTCGGAACGATGCCTGCAGCATCCTTTCGAATAAGGCGATCAGCAGGCGAGGTGACGGAAGTCAGGAAATTTGGGGTCGTCTGGCGATCACGGCATTCAAAGCCTAGTCGAATGAAGTATTCCTTGGCTCGGTCCGTCTTGCCGCAGAAGATGGTCCGCCCATCGTAAAGCACAGTAACCCAGTCAAAGCAATCGTAGATGGTCTCTGACACTTGGTACATGGTCACGATGTTGCTCATTCCGGTATCACGAGCAGTTGATGTGACAAATTGCACAAACTCCGTAGCCGATGAACCGTCTAAACCACGGGTAGGATTGTCCCATGCCGCTACCGCAGGGTTTGCCGACAAAGCCTCAATCAAGGTGACACGTTTGCGCTCGCCTCCAGAAACACCTCGAACAAAAGCATTTCCTACGATCGTGTCGGTGGTGTGTGATAGCCCAACAGTACTTAGCGAGGCATCAGCAATTTCGCGGGCGAACTCCGAGTCCGAGCGCGTTTCGTTTGCGGGCTTCCGCAGCCGGAGGGCAAACTCTATAGTGTTTTTGACTGTGAGAGTAGAGAAGTGGAAGTCTTCCTCACTTGCATAAAGTACTCGGACCGATATCGATGTGCCATCTCTTTGTTCGAAAGACCAGCATATGCCAATTGACCCTGTACTTCCAGAAATGACCGTGACTGTTGGCCAAGGTCTTGAGCAGGGTTGTGCAGCCGGCGCCAGGTCGTCCCAGAACTAGCATCGATTCGCCAGAGAAGACCACTCCGTTAGCATCGCGAATGATCTGGGTAGTCGGCGTTTTTCTTTTCCCGGTCATTTGAGTTAGGACTGTCA